TCCTCTTACGTGCAGTGCATCTTTAAAATTGCAAACATGCGCCGATATTTAAGCAGTCGAGTTAATTTACAGCTGGTTCTGTGGTGTAATGGTAAGCACTTTGGACTTTGAATCCAAGGATCCGAGTTCAAGTCTTGGCAGAAGCTCTAGATAGCAAAAACGAATGATGCATTGTGATTAAAGTTCTATTAATTATTGTGGAACGGCAAACTGGTACACAGTCTGCAGCAGAAAACCACGCGGGCTTGAGTTTTTAAAACACGATTTTACACGACAAAATGTTGAAAGTATTTATTCCCAAATTTTAATATTTTCTAGATGGTTTCAAAGCCAAAACGTCCCCTAACTTGGCAGTGGTGGGATTCGAAGCCACGCCATCGAAATGACTGGTACCTGAAACCAGCGCCTTAGACCACTCGGCCACACTACCGCAACGCGTTTTTTCGGAGTATTATTTTTGTAGGAGTATTACCAGAAGGTGTAATTTGCAAAAAGGGCGCTTTCTTGTTCGAAAACTAACATTTTCGATAGTAACAATACCAGTATTCCAAGTCAAATGGCTAAAGTCAAATGGCAGCGGTGGGATTCGAACCCACGCCATCGAAATGACTGGTGCCTTAAACCAGCGCCTTAGACCACTCGGCCACGCTACCTTTTCCCAAAAATGTTAAATGAAGATGTGGCGGGCTCATAAAAAGTGTTATATTACATCGCAAGGAAAACGGTGGAAATTCCATAAAAAGTGAAAACTGCGTCGACCGGGAATCGAACCCAGATCTACTGCTTGGAAGGCAGCAATGCTAACCGTTACACCATCAACGCTCTTCGTTGGGCATTCATCTTCCATCATTTTTACATGGATTAAATCTAATACAAAAAAAGGGCGGGGCAAGAAAATCTATGTTGTCAGGTGTGGGATTTGAACCCACGCCCACAAATGTGGACCAGAAGACTCGTCAATCTCTTAAGTCTGGCGCCTTCGACCGCTCGGCCAACCTGACAAGCACGCGCTGCTTTTGAATTGATGCTTCTAAAAAAGAAATCTTAATGAACGCAAGCGTCCTCTTACGTGCAGTGCATCTTTAAAATTGCAAACATGCGCCGATATTTAAGCAGTCGAGTTAATTTACAGCTGGTTCTGTGGTGTAATGGTAAGCACTTTGGACTTTGAATCCAAGGATCCGAGTTCAAGTCTCGGCAGAACCTCTAGATAGCAAAGACGAATAATGCATTGTGATTAAAGCTCTATTAATTATTGTGGAACGGCAAACTGGTATACAGTCTGCAGCAGAAAACCACGCGGGCTTGAGTTTTTAAAACACGATTTTACACGACAAAATGTTGAAAGTATTTATTCCCAAATTTTAATATTTTCTAGATGGCTTCAAAGCCAAAACGTCCCCTAACTTGGCAGTGGTGGGATTCGAACCCACGCCATCGAAAAGACTGGTACTTGAAACCAGCGCCTTAGACCACTCGGCCACACTACCGGAACGCGTTTCTTCGGAGTATTATTTTTGTAGGAGTATTACCAGAAGGTGTAATTTGCAAAAAGCGCGCTTTCTTGTCCGAAAACTAACATTTTCGATAGTAACAATACCAGTATTCCAAGTCAAATGGCTAAAGTCAAATGGCAGCGGTGGGATTCGAACCCACGCCATCGAAATGACTGGTGCCTTAAACCAGCGCCTTAGACCACTCGGCCACGCTACCTTTTCCCGAAAATGTTAAATGAAGATGTGGCGGGCTCATAAAAATATTATATTACATCGCAAGGAAAATGGTGGAAATTCCATAAAAAGTGAAAACTGCGTCGACCGGGAATCGAACCCAGATCTACTGCTTGGAAGGCAGCAATGCTAACCGTTACACCATCAACGCTCTTCGTTGGGCATTCATCTTCCATCATTTTTACATGGATTAAATCTAATACAAAAAAAGGGCGGGGCAAGAAAATCTATGTTGTCAGGTGTGGGATTCGAACCCACGCCCACAAATGTGGACCAGAAGACTCGTCAATCTCTTAAGTCTGGCGCCTTCGACCGCTCGGCCAACCTGACAAGCACGCGCTGCTTTTGAATTGATGCTTCTAAAAAAGAAATCTTAATGAACGCAAGCGTCCTCTTACGTGCAGTGCATCTTTAAAATTGCAAACATGCGCCGATATTTAAGCAGTCGAGTTAATTTACAGCTGGTTCTGTGGTGTAATGGTAAGCACTTTGGACTTTGAATCCAAGGATCCGAGTTCAAGTCTCGGCAGAACCTCTAGATAGCAAAGACGTATAATGCATTGTGATTAAAGCTCCATTAAGTATTGTGGAACGGCAAACTGGTATACAGTCTGCAGCAGAAAACCACGCGGGCTTGAGTTTTTAAAACACGATTTTACACGACAAAATGTTGAAAGTATTTATTCCCAAATTTTAATATTTTCTAGATGGCTTCAAAGCCAAAACGTCCCCTAACTTGGCAGTGGTGGGATTCGAACCCACGCCATCGAAATGACTGGTACCTGAAACCAGCGCCTTAGACCATTCGGCCACACTACCAGAACGCGTTTTTTCGGAGTATTATTTTTGTAGGAGTATTACCAGAAGGTGTAATTTGCAAAAAGCGCGCTTTCTTGTCTGAAAACTAACATTTTCGATAGTAACAATAACAGTATTCCGAGTGAAATGGCTAAAGTGAAATGGCTATAGTCAAATGGCAGCGATGGGATTCGAACCCACGCCATCGAAATGACTGGTGCCTTAAACCAGCGCCTTAGACCACTCGGCCACGCTACCTTTTCCCGAAAATGTTAAATGAAGATGTGGCGGGCTCATAAAAAGTGTTATATTACATCGCAAGGAAAACGGTGGAAATTCCATAAAAAGTGAAAACTGCGTCGACCGGGAATCGAACCCAGATCTACTGCTTGGAAGGCAGCAATGCTAACCGTTACACCATCAACGCTCGTCGTTGGGCATTCATCTTCCATCATTTTTACATGGATTACAGCTAATACAAAAAAGGGGCGGGGCAAGAAAATCTATGTTGTCAGGTGTGGGATTCGAACCCACGCCCACAAATGTGGACCAGAAGACTCGTCAATCTCTTAAGTCTGGCGCCTTCGACCGCTCGGCCAACCTGACAAGCACGCGCTGCTTTTGAATTGATGCTTCTAAAAAAGAAATCTTAATGAACGCAAGCGTTCTCTTACGTGCAGTGCATCTTTAAAATTGCAAACATGCGCCGATATTTAAGCAGTCGAGTTAATTTACAGCTGGTTCTGTGGTGTAATGGTAAGCATTTTGGACTTTGAATCCAAGGATCCGAGTTCAAGTCTCGGCAGAACCTCTAGATAGCAAAGACGAATAATGCATTGTGATTAAAGCTCCATTAATTATTATGGAACGACAAACTGGTATACAGTCTGCAGCAGAAAACCACGCGGGCTTGAGTTTTTAAAACACGATTTTACACGACAAAATTTTGAAAGTATTTATTCCCAAATTTTAATATTTTCTAGATGGCTTCAAAGCCAAAACGTCCCCTAACTTGGCAGTGGTGGGATTCGAACCCACGCCATCGAAAAGACTGGTACCTGAAACCAGCGCCTTAGACCACTCGGCCACACTACCGGAACGCGTTTCTTCGGAGTATTATTTTTGTAGGAGTATTACCAGAAGGTGTAATTTGCAAAAAGCGCGCTTTCTTGTCCGAAAACTAAAATTTTCGATAGTAACAATACCAGTATTCCAAGTCAAATGGCTAAAGTCAAATGGCAGCGGTGGGATTCGAACCCACGCCATCGAAATGACTGGTGCCTTAAACCAGCGCCTTAGACCACTCGGCCACGCTACCTTTTCCCGAAAATGTTAAATGAAGATGTGGCGGGCTCATAAAAAGTATTATATTACATCGCAAGGAAAATGGTGGAAATTCCATAAAAAGTGAAAACTGCGTCGACCGGGAATCGAACCCAGATCTACTGCTTGGAAGGCAGCATGCTAACCGTTACACCATCAACGCTCTTCGTTGGGCATTCATCTTCCATCATTTTACATGGATTAATCTAATACAAAAAAAGGGCGGGGCAAGAAAACCTATGTTGTCAGGTGTGGGATTCGAACCCACGCCCACAAATGTGGACCAGAAGACTCGTCAATCTCTTAAGTCTGGCGCCTTCGACCGCTCGGCCAACCTGACAAGCACGCGCTGCTTTTGAATTGATGCTTCTAAAAAAGAAATCTTAATGAACGCAAGCGTCCTCTTACGTGCAGTGCATCTTTAAAATTGCAAACATGCGCCGATATTTAAGCAGTCGAGTTAATTTACAGCTGGTTCTGTGGTGTAATGGTAAGCACTTTGGACTTTGAATCCAAGGATCCGAGTTCAAGTCTCGGCAGAACCTCTAGATAGCAAAGACGGATGATGCATTGTGATTAAAGTTCTATTAATTATTGTGGAACGGCAAACTGGTATACAGTCTGCAGCAGAAAACCACGCGGGCTTGAGTTTTTAAAACACGATTTTACACGACAAAATGTTGAAAGTATTTATTCCCAAATTTTAATATTTTCTAGATGGCTTCAAAGCCAAAACGTCCCCTAACTTGGCAGTGGTGGGATTCGAACCAACGCCATCGAAATGACTGGTACCTGAAACCAGCGCCTTAGACCACTCGGCCACACTACCGCAACGCGTTTCTTCGGAGTATTATTTTTGTAGGAGTATTACCAGAAGGTGTAATTTGCAAAAAGCGCGCTTTCTTGTCCGAAAACTAAAATTTTCGATAGTAACAATACCAGTATTCCAAGTCAAATGGCTAAAGTCAAATGGCAGCGGTGGGATTCGAACCCACGCCATCGAAATGACTGGTGCCTTAAACCAGCGCCTTAGACCACTCGGCCACGCTACCTTTTCCCAAAAATGGTAAATGAAGATGTGGCGGGCTCATAAAAAGTGTTATATTACATCGCAAGGAAAACGGTGGAAATTCCATAAAAAGTGAAAACTGCGTCGACCGGGAATCGAACCCAGATCTACTGCTTGGAAGGCAGCAATGCTAACCGTTACACCATCAACGCTCTTCGTTGTGCATCCATCTTCCATCATTTTTACATGGATTACAGCTAATACAAAAAAGGGGCGGGGCAAGAAAATCTATGTTGTCAGGTGTGGGATTCGAACCCACGCCCACAAATGTGGACCAGAAGACTCGTCAATCTCTTAAGTCTGGCGCCTTCGACCGCTCGGCCAACCTGACAAGCACGCGCTGCTTTTGAATTGATGCTGCTAAAAAAGAAATCTTAATGAACGCAAGCGTCCTCTTACGTGCAGTGCATCTTTAAAATTGCAAACATGCGCCGATATTTAAGCAGTCGAGTTAATTTACAGCTGGTTCTGTGGTGGAATGGTAAGCACTTTGGACTTTGAATCCAAGGATCCGAGTTCAAGTCTCGGCAGAACCTCTAGATAGCAAAGACGAAT